TTAGATAGATAGGATTTCGGAGAGGAATAACTAAGAGATTTAGGCATACCTTCGTTACTATATCGATTAGGCCTAATCGAACTAGTCGGATTAGCTGCCCGTAGCGATATTAGCGCTTAATAGTAGGAAGAACGCCGCTATAACGGTCAGCCCTTTCTTCTACGAATACGGTTAGGAACCCTCGGCGATTTAAGTACTAGATAACGAGGCGAACGAGGTGCGGAGTTCCCCCGAACTCGCTATAAAGGACTTTATCTCCCGGTTAGGTAGGGTGACGGACTTTATATAAATAGCTATCGCCGCCGTATAATAACGCGCTAAGGACATAGCTAACTCGTATCGACGACCGGCCGAACGGTTCGAGGTTAGCGATAAGGTGTGGCTGAAAATAGCGAACTATTATATTATAAGGCCGAGCAAGAAGCTCGACGCTCTATATTATAAGTATAAAGTTACTAAGGTTATTAGCCCTCTAGTAGTCGAACTAAGCGTTCCCTCTGCGATTTATCCGCGTTTCTACGTCGACTAGCTACGGCGGGCGGGCCTAGACTTAGTAGCCGGTTAGTAGACTAACGATACCTAACCTGCGATTATAATTAATAAATAATAAGAATAGCTAGTCGAATATATCCTATACGCACGAAGTAAGCGGCGAGGCCGCGGGCTACGGAGGGAGTGCCTTATAAAGTAGAAAGGCTATTCTAAGCTAACCTAGGAACCGCTATCGAATATTACGGATACGGCCGCGCTCGACGAATTCGAAGAAATTCACGGATCTATAGAATTTCATAACGGTCCCGACTAGAGCGTAGCGAGATCGTAATAGCTACGTAGACTTTCCGCTCTAAATATAGCTAATTTTACGATATTTTTAGTCAACTTATAGGCGGGGGGGGAGGAACTCTATTTAAGGCCACACGGCCGCAGCCGATCCGCCGGGCTACCGTAGGGAGACCGCACGCTAAACTTTTTCTTAAAGAATTAAAGAATAAAAATCAGCCCCGAAGGGTCCCCCGCACCTAAACCGCAGCTATACTATATCTAGGCCCTAGGGGCCGCGCCCTCCTCCTCGGACTCGGGCTCCTCGTTAAGGGGATTATAACCCTTAACGACAGGGAGTTACTAACGGGTTAGCTAGTAACTCGCAGGGGGACCGTAAGGACGTGAACTTATAAGGTACTTATAGATAGAGCGTAGTATAGCCTTAATACTAGTAAGGCGGTAGTTAGCGTTAGGGGCGGCCCGGGGGTACTATCGTAGGGCACGCGTAGCGCGCTCGCCTATAGTAGACTATTTACGCGTTTCCTAGCTAGTTAGTATATATTTACTATATAAGGATATAGCAGACTTATAGCGGACCTATCGCCTAGGGTAGCGCCCGCGGCCTTTATAGTAGCGGCGGCGGCTATAAACTCTAGGGCGGTAGGGATAGCCTTAAGAGCGAGCTACAGAAAATATATATTAATAGTGCGAGGGATTGGCGTTTAGAATATTTAGAAATAAGTAAACTTATAAAGATATACTCGTGCTTAATATTAGTATAATAGTAGTACTTTTTACTACCGGAGTCTACTCGAGTTAGTAGACTAACCGCACCGAGGTCGTAGGAAGACCTACTCTTAACGCTACGGTAGGGCGCGGCGGAGGGGTTGGCTATAAGGGCACGGAGGTAGCGAGAGTATCTAGAGCGTATAAGTAAGGTTCCCGTATCTTCCTCGCACTCGTATATACGGGAGCTTACAGCGGCGGCCGGGGGGCGCCTACTTCTTACCTAGCGGCGGTATAGAAGGGGGGGGAGACGATAAGGATTACTACTACGCGTTAGCACTATCCTCGTTAGGAACTCGCACCCCGGGGTTATATAATATACGCGACGGTAGCGCTTAGAGCTACGAGGGCCCTAGGCGGCGCCTTTCTTACTAATAGCTACTACGTGTATACGTTAGCTATATATCGTCGCTTTAGTATCGAAGTCCTTACTAGGGGCGGGAGAGGCGGCGGCGGTAGCGGCGATAAAGAGTTAATTAATCTACGACGTTAGTAAGGCTCTTAGAGTGGCCGTAGGCGGCGCGTAGGGACTGCGCGCGCGCAGGATTAACTCACGGGGGCCGACGGGCTGATTAACTATAGCGCGCTACGTATAGGGTTAGTAGGGAGGTCGTAGAGGTATCGCGGGGCTGCCGCGGGCTATTATAGGTATATACCGGTATCGAGAAATAAGGCTAAAGGAGAGAAAAATAACAGGTAGGGAAGGCCACGGCCGATATTATTATAGCCGCCCTTAGATTTATCTAATATTAGCTTATATTACCTTTACCTTAGCCTTAGTTCGCGAGGCTAACGGGTATATATATAGGACGTAGCTATACCGCGCGGGGTACTACGAGAAACCGCGGATCTACCCGGAGTGCGAATTAATATATATAAAAACCCAGGATATGTTCCTAGCGGTAAGGCACCCCGTAGCTATCCCGACGGGCCACCGCAGGCTGGCCTAGAGTTAGTAGGGGGGTAGTGTTACGGTTCTACCAGTTACTAGCGGCTGGGTATAAGACCTAGCCTAGTTCACCCAGGCACGTGACGCGTGCCCACGAGGACGCACAGACCTCGTAGGGTCTTTATAGGAAAGGGGGACCGTAAATTCCCTTTTCTTTCTCTTTTCCTACCTTATCGTTAGATAGACTCAATCTAAGCTACCAAGTTGTTCTAACAGGGCTTAGCCCACAACACTCTGAACAAGCTCATTCCGCAGAAGGGTCGCCTCGCGGCTATCATAAGCAACAACCTAGACAATCTAGGCTAGGAAGAGTCTATCAACGATATAGTTAACTTACTAAAGACTAAATAAGGTGTCTTTTACCGCCCAAACGAGGCGCTAGAAAAGGGGGTATGTCCTTTTTATAACGAATCTATAGAAAAGTAAGACTATCTCACAGGCCGCCTTAATTCGCTAACTCTGCCGTAGGTTACAGGAGAGATAAAGATCAAGAAATATCTATTACTACCGAAAGAAAGATATTACGAAAACCCTAGGCACACTCTAGTCTGATCTCCGCTTCTGTTATTTTTATATAGCTTTTTATAAGGCCGATGAATAGGGCTAATACGAGCATTACTTATAAAAACCTTAGAAACGCTATAGTTCGCTTACGTACCACTATACTTTAATTCGACCTATATTCTGTCTCCTTTGTAAACAAGCTAAGCACTACTCACCTAGCGACAGGATGCAATATTAGGAACGAGATACGGACGCCATACGCTATCTTAAGCAGGCTCACGGATAGCTATAGCGATATGCAGAGTGCGACTTCTTATCTTCGAACCGGGAAGTAAGGTGCTCCTATCTCTATAACGTTTATAGTTATAATATACCGAAGCTTAGCAGTACTAAGTCTAATAGTTATAAAATATTGCTCTCACTAGAACTGTCTAGGTCACCAGACTCTAACTTAAGCCTAAATTAGACTAAAGCCTCTAATATTAATTCGTTCGATATATCTTAGTTTATATTATTCCCTCCGACCCCTAAGGCTAAGCCTACGTTACCGCCGCCCCTCCCTCTCTCGTTAGACGTTGTTTCGCTTTAACCGGTCGTTCTCTCTACCTATAATAGCGACTAGAAAGAAGAAGTTAGTAGCGATAATAAGCGTACTAATAAGATAGATTATAGCGTAAGCTTTATCGGGGATCCGGAACTTAAGTTAACGAGCAGCTTAGACCAGCCGAGGACCATCGTCTACGAGAGCTTAAGTCGAGATAGCTTGCTGACGCAATCGGTGGAAGCAAACCTAGACGAGGGTTAGCCTTATACGGATAGTTCGCCGAATTCTGAGGCAAAAGCTACTACCGTAGCTAACGATAAACGCACGCCTATACCTTCCCTAATAATCACCGGAGCAAGTATAAAGCCCCGGATAAGGATTATACTCAGAACCTCGACCTAATAGCCCGGGAGCGGAGAGTATTTACCTCCTCGCAGCCCCATAGGGAAGGAAGCCCGGCCAGCTCCTTCTACGACACGTAAGCGGATTTAGCTTAAGTTAAACAGTATAGTAGAGAGATTACGCCGTATTAGATAAGACTATAATAATAAATATAACATAGATAGTAGACTCTATAGGAAATGACGTAAATATTAAGATAATATAGGTATTATACGCTAGTATAAAGGGCGTCTGCTTGCGAATAGGGAGGAATAGACTTACGGAGAATCTATCTTTATACCTCTAGTAATATATAGCGCTTTATGTCTTTATTCCTATTATTATTATGCGGGCACAATAATACCGCAGGTGCTATGGTATAGTACGTAACCCTCCGAGCACTAGACTAGTCACCTGCATGCCCATCCGATAGACGCCTTCTCCGTTCCCCCCGAAACGGTTGAACTGCTCGAAGCTTTATTCCAGGCAAGCCAGAATAGCCGTCAACAGCCCGCTTCCAAAGCACTCGAGGACTTTATGACGCATCCTTGTCTACCCTGCGACGACCGCACACCCAAATAGACAAAGGCGGCCATACGTGTTAACTAACCATTGGTAGGCGCTCGCTAGGCATGCGCTCACCAATGGACGCACGCCAACGAAAGCGCCTGCAGGCGCTGAGCCACCCAACACCAAATGGTATGGCCCGCGACTCCTGCCGTTCATGCATAGGACTGCCCTGATAAGGCTGCGGTCTTCGACTGCCTATAGGAAGGTCAATATCCTCTCAAATGATCCGTCTGTCTCTCAACTACCGGCTCACCAAATATCTCAAGACCTTCCGCAGTCCCGACGCGATACGTTTCCCATCCGACCAGCGACCACACTACGTACACGAAACAAACCTCTATCCTCGGGTGTGAGAGGAAACAGTAGACTGCTGTTGCTTGTGCTGCCGCCGACGATTCCAGCCCACCCGCCTTACCCCGCCGGCAATCGCCCAAGCCGATACCCACCCAACTCCTGCTACCGACCGATTGATTGCCTGTGCCACGAATTGAAGCCGCACCCGCCATGTCGGATAGTCAGTGCAATGCGAACGATTATACGGTGGGCTGGGTGTGTGCGCTCCCTTTGGAGATGGCCGCCGCACAGGGAATGCTCGACGAGATCCACCCAAACCTGTCCGAGCAGGCGTCGGGCGACCATAACAACTATGTCCTCGGACAAGTCGGGGAACACAACGTTGTCATCGCCTGTCTGCCAGTGGGGATCTACGGAACGACGCCTGCGGCTACCGTGGCCAAAGACATGCTGCGCACCTTCAAGTCGATCCGATTCGGCCTGATGGTCGGGATCGGTGGCGGTGCACCATCGTCAGGTCATGACATTCGGCTGGGTGACATTGTCGTCAGCCAGCCGTACGGGAAGACTGGAGGCGTGATCCAGTACGACCGAGGGAAGGACGGACTTGACGGCTTCGAACGAACTGGGTCGCTCAACACGCCGCCTCAACTCTTATTGGCTGCGTTGGGTCGACTCCAGGCCGACCATCTCATGAGAGGCAGTCGCATCCCCGGCTTCCTGTCCGAGCTTCTCAACAAATACCCGATAATGAAAAAGGCATTCAGCTTCCAGGGCGAGTCGAACGACTGTCTGTTCCAGGCAGAATACGAGCACGCCGGCGGTGATTCTGGGTGCGAACAATGCGATCGTACACGAGCCGTGCAAAGGGACGTTCGGGACGACGCCGATCCGGTGGTGCACTATGGCAATATCGCCTCGGGCAATCAGGTGATCAAGAATGCACGCACACGAGACCGACTGAGCAAGGAACTCGGGGTGCTCTGCTTCGAATTGGAGGCGGCCGGGCTGATACAGGACTTCCCATGCCTGGCGATCCGGGGCATCTGCGACTATTCCGACTCACACAAGAACAAGGCATGGCAGGGGTATGCGGCGGCGGCGGCGGCGGCGTTCGCAAAGGAGCTTCTTTCGGCCATTTCCCCCGAGCGCGTGCTCCAGGATAAGGCCATACCGCAGCTCGTTTCGGGTGCGTTGCAGTGATTCCGGTGGATGGATAATCCGTGGCATCTAGAGTCAAGTGTAACAAGGCTTTCCGCTGATCGTTTGGAACAGACCCTGTGGCCCAAGAGCTGTTGGCCGCCACTAACGAAACGATCTCAAAGCACGCAACAAAGCAAGACACTAGATACGAGAACGATAAACAGATCGAATGCCACCGGTGTTTCAAAACCTCTCAGTATGAGGACTTCAAGAACATCAACCCCGACCGTGTACCGGGCACATGCAAGTGGGTCCTGGAGCACCCGCAGTACAAGAAGTGGCGACAGAGCTCGCACGACAACCTCCTCTGGATCTCGGCGGACCCTGGCTGCGGCAAGTCGGTGCTGGCGAAAGCTCTTATCGACGAGGAGCTCGATAACACAGGCGATCATACGGTGTGCTACTTCTTCTTCAAGGACAACGAGGCCCAAGACGGCCTCGCGACGGCGCTATGCGCTCTCCTCCACCAGCTCTTCGGTCGGCTGCCCCACCTCCTGCGCCACGCCGCAAATGCGTTTGAGAAGAACGACCACAAGCTGCAGAATGAGGTGGACGAGCTGTGGCGTATCTTTCTGGCTGCTGCTACGGATGACTCTACGGGGGCCGTGATCTGCATTTTCGACGCCCTAGACGAATGCCAGAGAGACGGTCGTCGGAAGCTCGTCCGACTAGTCACGGACTTCTATGCCCGGCGCGTGTCGGCATCAACGAGGACGTTCCCGTTGAAGTTTCTCGCGACGAGTCGCCCGTACCAGGATATTGAGTCTGGCTTCAGCAACGTCCCCCCCGCGCTTCCGTCGATTCGGTTAGCCGGCGAGGAGAGCAATGCGGACATCAGCGAGGAGATCAACCTCGTCATTCGGCAGAAGATACAGGAGCTTCGCACAGACCAGGAGGTCCGAGATATGTTGCAAGCGAAGCTGCTAGCAATATCCAACCGAACCTACCTCTGGCTGCATCTCGTCTGGGACGAGTTGCAGCGGAGCAGACGCAGTAAGACGGCACTTATGAAAAAGATTGACTCGCTTCCATCAACAGTCGAACAAGCTTACGAGAGCATTCTCGGCAGACTTCGCCCTGAGCAACGAGAAGATGCGCGAATCCTCCTTCACATTATCGTGGGAGCTCGACGGCCGCTCACACTCATTGAAATGGACGTGGCATTCCAGCTGGCTGTGGACTCACCGGGTGCGACAGCACACGAGGAGCTTGAACTTAATACCGACCGTGTCAAATCCGATATCCGAGAGCTGTGCGGCCTCTTCGTTTTCATCAGCGACAACCGGATCTACTTGATACACCACACGGCGAAGGAATTTCTAGTTGCAAAGAAAGGTGTCAAAGAATCGACTGGGAAGTTCTGGAGGCATTCACTTCGAGGGGAGTTCTCCAGCCAGATCATGACGCAAATATGCGTACAATATCTCTCTTTTCGTGATATCGGAGATAATCATCGCTACAAAATGAGAAAAGCAGATTCCGACGCGAGAGATTTTCCACTATTGGAGTACTCTGCGGAGAATTGGCCAGCACATTTCCGGGATACGGATGACGCGGACGAGGGCCTCCTTAGCCTCATCTTTAAGCTGTATGACGCCAAGACGGCACGGTTCGAGACATGGTTATCAATTTTCTGGAATGCTGCGTATCCATACCGTGGTCGATATGACCTAAAGCCACTGCACTTGGCGGCGTTGAATGGCCATACCCAGGTTGTAGAGCTGCTCCTGAAGGAGGGGGCGGACGTCAACGCGGAGGGCGGCGGGTACAGCAACGCTCTACAGGCCGCCTCATCCGAAGGCCATGCCGAGATTGTGAGGCTGCTCCTAGAGAAGGGGGCGGACGTTAACGCGGAGGGCGGCGTCTTCGGCAGCGTTCTACGGGCCGCCTCATCCGAAGGCCATGTCGATATTGCGAAGCTTCTCCTAGAGAAGGGGGCGGACGTGAACGCGGAGAGCGGTATCTCCGGCAACGCTCTACGGGCCGCCTCAGCGAGAGGCTATACCGAGATTGTGAGGCTGCTCCTAGAGAAGGGGGCGGACGTTAACGCGGAGGGCGGCGCCTTAGGCAACGCTCTATGGGCTGCCTCAGCGAGAGGCTATACCGACATTGCGAAGCTTCTCCTAGAGAAGGGGGCGGACGTCAGCGCGGAGGGCGGCGAATACGGCAACGCTCTACAGGCCGCCTCAGCGAGAGGCTATACCGAGATTGTGAGGCTGCTCCTAGAGAAGGGGGCGGACGTTAAAGGCAACGCTCTACGGGCCGCCTCATCCGAAGGCCATGTCGATATTGCGAAGCTTCTCCTAGAGAAAGGGGGCGGACGTTAACGCGGAGGGCGGCGTCTTCGGCAACGCTTTATGGGCTGCCTCAACGAGATGCTATACCGACATTGCGAAGCTTCTCCTAGAGAAAGGGGCGGACGTCAACGGCAACGCTCTACGGGCCGCCTTATATGGAGGCCACGCCGAGATTGTGAAGCTTCTCTTAGAGAAGGGGGCGGATGTATGCCTCAAGGACGATACATTTGCGCAGACATCACTGTCCTGGGCGGCTGAGAACGGCCATGAAGCAGTCGTCAAGCTGCTTCTCGCCGTGGATGACACAGACGTTGATACGCTGGACCATTCCGGTCGGATGCCCCTGTCATGGGCTGCGGCTAATGGACATGACGCTGTCGTCAAACTTCTGCTCGACTCCAGCAGAGTGAATATCGAGTCGGTGGACGTATCTGGTCGAACAGCACTTACATGGGCCACCACAAAAGGACACGAAGGCGTAGTCAAGATGCTTCTCGACGCCTATGCCGCTACGGCTAGCAGTATTGTCCAGCAGACACTCTTTTCAGCCGTAGCGAAAGGACATGAGGCGGTGGTTGAGATGCTCATCGAAAGGAACGGTGTCGACTTGGCTGCCGAGGATGGATGTGGTCTCACCGCTTTGCAGTTGGCCGTCTTCAAGGGCCATCAAGCTGTGGAGAAGCTACTGCTGGCACACGACGCGGTGGTAGTTTCGGACTTCTATAGATTTCGTTTTCTATTCGGGGAGAATAAGCATTGACAGTTTCTCTAGATCTACGGCATGACGCCAAAACTCCTCAGTTCAATGGCTGAGAATACAGGAGGGACCCCGAATGCCTTCTTCAACCCAGACGTTCGTACATGACGTTTAATCCCGTGGTGGAGCCAGACGTCAACAAGGTTCATCATGAACTCGCTCTGACCCTAAAAGGTGATGTAATTGCAGACTGCGTGTTTCGTGCGTCGGTGGTTTGCGTAGGACTCCTAGATGTGCAAGCTTGTGGCCTGGATCGGTGGTTGCCGAGACAATTCATAGAGCGTCATCAGGACGTCGATTCTTGCATATTCTCGATTGCTCAATATCCAGGCCAAGTTGTGGACATCACGACATTGTGATCCACTTTAGCCAGCACTGTCATCACCCGCCCTCCATGGCTTGAAAAGGGTCAAGAGTGTGGGAAGCGGACACCGATTTCGAATTTGGCTATACACAGTTAGCGGATAAAGACGGTGGATTCCACAATGACACTGATTCGGCAATAGGAGTTAGAACGTAGGTAGTTTCTGTTTTATTATTTCATATGCTTAGCGGGAATGGTTAAGCTGAAAAGCTGATCGAACCTGTGTGAGTAGCGCAAGCTCAACGGTATCCGTCTCCAGCACAATTTTCCAGTATCGCGAACTACATGGTCGCACCTTTCACAACTATGGAAGTACGGAATATTAGTAAGTAGTAGCCAAATTATGCTCGAGCTAACATCGCTGATATAACAGATAGGGGGCCCCAATAATACGATACAGAATGAACAGCTAGATCTTGGGTTTGTGCCTGATTCATGACCAAGTTCACAATCCAACAGTTTCAGCTCACACCTTGCAGCCACCACATGCTAATCATATTGCTCGACGATAAGCTTTTCCCCCTATCAGTGGGAACCCTGAGAAGGTCCTCGATGTTGGCACCGGCCATAGGATAAGTTATGGGCAATGTATAATTCCCTCTCCTAGGTTACCCTACGCTTTCGGCCTCCAGCGGTGAATAACTAATATTTCTGACCTACAGCGATTTCGCAGACTTTTCCATTGAATTGAGGAGGCTGAGACGCGGTGAAGACTATGCAGCGAATAGAGCGCAATAGTGAATTTCATGATTAACGAGATCTAGTGCAATGTTCTTGCGGACGGGGGATTCCCGCTGAGGAGCCTGAGTACGACGATTGTATGGTCTGATCACTATTGCTCCCATGATATGCACTTAATAGCGGATACATGAGGCTGTGTAGAGGCAAAGAACGAATAATAACCAGTTCCTTCGACTTTATCCTTGACTCTCCAAATCTCACCCATGACCTCCTCTTTCCCCAACCTTTCTTGTCACTGACGAGGCATGGTTCCATATCGACTTTTCTTTGGGCGGTGCTGGTAATAGAGACCAGATTGCAGACGTGGGGGGTATAGCTAGATGATAGGCATTAGGGCTCGAAAAAAAAGGAGTTTTTATAAACTGATTGTAGACAGGCTGTCGTCACTGTCGATAAATCCCTGCCACCCTGAATGTGGCCTTGACGCGGTTTGTTGGCGTAGCTGAAACGGGACTGTGCCATGGCCATCTAAAGGACGTTGAGTTTCAACGGACGGTTTCGGCGTTGGACACATTGAACGCGGCACAGAACTGCTCGCTAGTGAAAGAGAGGGCCGTGAATACTCGTCATTGTGTACACTGATGGGACTAAGCAGATCTGTGCCATGAATTCGAGATGAGTCTGACCAAGACATACAAAGGTCTGCAGTGTCCGTCTGTGACAGGTCCAGAGGGCTAGGTAAAGTCGACCGATGGGTGGCTAAAGGACTTTGCAGCGAAGAAACACTAGCATGAGAGGCAGGCTGTGTAGGCATTGTTGAACGAGACGGCAATGAGCTGTCGTTATGATAGTAGAATAGCTGCGAGAAACTATGGGTGGGCGGCGGCGAAGGCACTGTAGAAAGTGGCAGGGAGGAGTTGTCTGACATGTCGCAGTCTCTCGATCCGTATTCAAAGTGAGTGTGATCTGTTGTCCTTGGGTATTCGAGGCTGTCGGACGCACAGGAATTTCGTTGTAGACTCATAGCATGATCTCTCTTCTTGATTCGGTATGCTCGTTGTCGCGCTTTTCTTGAGCGACGAGCTCTGTTCTCACGTGTATGGGCGTCCGGATGTGACCCATCCGAGGGGGCTGTAGGCGTGGGCAGTATGGATCGAGGATCGGTTTCGTTGGATGTATATCTTACTGCGATCTGCTCGGCGTCCCGACAAGCCAGTGTCGAGTAGTCTCTTTCTGTACTTGAGGCTGGGTCGTGGGCAACGACCGAGTCTGTGAGACCTACGCCGGGGCCGCCATGAGAGTGCGTGCAAGGTGCCGCTGCTCTGCGATCAGACCAGCTGGGAGATACTGATGTCTCTTCAGGCACAGGGTCCAATTCTCGCACAAGGCTATCATTCTGCAAGCAAATTGAACGTGACATGTGATTGATCGTGCCATGTTTGTAGGATCCCAAGTTGTTCCATGCCGGGGTCGGAAGTGACTCGGATTGATGTAGTGGTCTGGTTGTGTACTCCTTGGAGTTGATGTAAACTTTCGGACGTGAGTCAAACTCGAAATTGCAAAGGTCATTTCCTAAGAATGCTTGAAGAAGGTTTCTCAAAAGGAATAGAGCGCTAATTTCAACCGTGTCGTTGTGAAGGATGACAGGAAGAAAAGCATCCCTTTGCATAATACGATAGGTACGGACGAAAGGTCGACACCAACGACGATCCACACGGGCGAAGAACTTCGACTCATCCTCGTCGATATCCATGCTATTCGACTCTAGGGTTGACAAGGACGCCTCAAACCGTGACGCAATGGTTGCTGCTCCTTCGTCGATCTGTTTGTTTCTGAAGCCAAGCAGGCTGGCTCTCCTTTGAAATAGATAAACACAGGCAGGATCAAAGAAAAATAGAGGCGGTTCAATGCCTCTTTCAATCTTAGGTCTTTCGGAGCTAAGATGGGGAAACTGGCGAAGTGCTGCTAGTAGGAGTTGACTGTAGGCGAGACTGAAGGATGGCTGACCTTGAACGGGTCGGGATTCGCCTTCTTGCACCTCCACTAAAGGGTCTGAAGCTATCCAGTATGTTTGGAGCATTGACCGTAGGCTCCTTCCCTCTTCAAGCTTAACCTTCCTTTTGTCTTCCTTTGGGACCAAATGAGTCCAAATAATCTGCCCGGCAATAAGGAGAAAGGTAATATCTGACTGGAAGGACCGCAAACTAGGGATCATGGCATTCATCTCTTGCACTCGGCGCTCTAACTCATGTCTCTGAAGCTTATTAGTTGTTGTTTGTCAGGCAGGTTTGCGGGGCCCCATAGGCGGGCACCCAGGTGCCCATATAAGATCCTTATGTAAGCAACGTCCCACAATAGCCCGGCACCTCTATTATCAACTTACACTATATCAACGCCTTATAGCTTCCACCCTAACGGCGGTTCTTATCAAAAAAACAATATCGTAAGATCTTTATTTAATTCGAACTCACAGCCTCTTATTCTGCGAATTTCCTATTCGGGCTCAATCGTATCGCGTTATCGTTCGCAATAACTATATAAAGAAGCGTGTATTATTATCACGGCCCCCTCGCTTACAGTATTATAACACGGCACACGCATAAGTTATAATAGAACTAAAAAAAAAAGTACGAGTCCTCGCTCTTTATATTAACTTATTACTTTACTCTAATATAAACCTAGATCTACTAGACCTAGCTAGCACGTCTTACGACGGAGAGATAGATTAAAGCTAACACTAAGAACTATCGCTAAATATAAGTTCAGAAAAGACTCCTAAGAGTTAATAACCTAGCTTAAATCAGTAACTACGAATAGCTATATCTCTAACTTCTTTAAGTATCCGACGAACGTAGGCGGGGCTAGCCACCTGGCTTCGGCGTAGAGGATATACTAGCCTATAACTACTACGCTAAAGAGATCTCGTTTTCTAACTATTAGACCGAGTTACTGAATTAATCGTAATCCTGATATATAAGGGTATCGCGGAGGTGAATAAGGAGGGGAATCTAGGCAGGCAATCGGGCGGCAGGTAATATATAATAAGCACAGGCCAAGGCCAAGGTCTCAAGCGCGAGGAATCAATTTAATATATAAGGCTGTTGGCGATGTTTGAACACGCTGTTGAAGATGCTGCTGGCGTTGTTGTTGATAACGCTGTTGTTAAAGATGACGCTGTTGTTGAAGATGACGCTGTTGTTGAAGATGTTGAAGATGCTGTTGAAGATGCTGTTGGCGAAGCTATTGCCGAGCGTGCCTTCTGCTCAATTTAAGCGTGATGCCTTATATAACGCTTGTTGTTCCTCTGTATCCCTCTCCGCTATATCCTAAAAACCCTATATCCCTCGTCTATGAATAGATCTACCGCTGGCTGCTTCCTCGGCTATATTAGTAGTAACCTAAGCCTTAACTCGCCTGTCCTCTTTCTCTTCCTAGTCTAGATAGGCTATTTATTCCTCCTTAGTCTAGTCCTTACGTGGCCTTCTCACGGTATATTACTTACCTATCCGCTTATAATTAAGATAATATTTATATACCTTCTTACTAAAGCG